ATATATATATATATAGGTATTAGGTACTAGGTAAATACTACCATTGATTATAAATTCATAAATAATATTATAACTTTAGCATTATACATTAATTACCCATCTATAATATTTATTAATAGTGTCAATGGTATTACTGGTATAGTGGTACCCAGATGAACCGTTTCAAGGAAGTGGAAAAAATAGGTAACATTTTAAAAGTCAAATGTTTAAATACGTAGAAGGTAGAACAGATACCTAGGGCATAGTTATTTAGTTGAACTATAGTTGTTATTGTGACTTAGTGAGTATTTAACTAATAATATTAATTATAAATATATACCTACCTACACTTAGTCTACACTATAACTGAATAATATAGCTATATAGGTATATATTAATATCATTGATTATAAATACTATAAATAGTATATAATAGTATTTATAATCAATGTTAATATTATTGTACGTGAAAACCGATTTTTGTATGAAAAAAAAGTTCTATCATACCTAGTCATAATGCCACGATAACTAAGTGTATTTTATGATAATATTGTGGCTATTGCCTATTACAGTGATTTATTTATAGTAATACCTAGCTTAATAAGTACACCATAGTTCAGTAGGTCGAATGATTTTTTGTCGAAAATATTGCATTTTAAAACATTATATTGTGTGTACCTTTAAAATATAATGGAAGTAAAGTACCTAACCCTTAAATAATGTTCTTCAATTATAAATTTATRAAAAAATAACTAAATTAACTAAACATTTTAATTTCAAAAAATGAGTCTATTGACCAAATAATATTATTATGATAAAATAGTAGATACAATAAAAAATTAATTAGATTTTAACATGAACCTATAAAATGTTCATATAAAATATTTTTTGAAATTAAAATGTTTCTAATATAAACTAGATCACAATTTACTCAACGAAAATATTGATATTTAAAAAAATTKTAAAAAATCAGCCATTTGACTTAAATAAGTGTTTTTACCATACACATTATTGATTTTCAGAATCAGATTTACAAATTGGCTACCTATATTGAATTAAATATTTCGAAAAAAAAAAATGTTTTTAATTTACACCCTGTATTGAAATAGTGTACGAAATATGAGCAGCACGTTAACTATTTATAACTTATATCGGAAACTTAATACAATAATTAAATGAAGTGGCTCTACAATATTATTGCAAGGGATTTTTGAAGCACAGTGGGTTGAAAATCTCCGTCCAAGTTGATCGCAAAACAACAAATTCAATTTTCGTTTTATTTAAATGTTAGACATTCCCTGTAAACTATTGTGCCTATGCTAATCCGATAATATAAACTATAAACAGTATGYCCAGTATGGGCGTACTTAAAATGAAAACATCGAAATTCCAGAAAAAATATTCTACTTATTGATAGGTATATTAAATAAAAAATGTATGCTGCCATTCAAAAAAGTGACTTAAGACTAATATACTTGTGTGATTCGTGTGTGTCATGTCACGTCGATCAAATCGTATTTATATATTTTACATCACTTTTTGGTATCATGTAACAATTAATTTGTAATCAAGTATTATACGTCTAAATCAAGAATTTACAATACGGCWCATCTTTTAAACCATATTGGTTTCTAGTGATAATTTATTATAGTTACACATAATCGCTTGACAAGACACATTATATCTTTAAAA